TCAGGGCCAAGCAGGGACATCAGCTTTTTAAGCCCGTCCTGAATGCCCTGGGGCAAATGCACCATCCTGACAGAGGATCATTTGTAACTACTCAGACGATAATTGACTACGAGTCCTAACAAGTGCAGCGGGGCTGCCGTGGCTCTTTGCTTAGAGTAATCTTACTAAGGTCACCGACGCTCGATCTATACTAGAGCCAGTATGAATGTAGCGGATCGCAATCCGCTACCTCCAAGTTTACCTAAAACCTTAACCAAGACAAATACACCCTTCCGTTCGAAACTGAACGTGTATTTATCTGTTTTATTTGCTGTAAAGCCGCCTATATCTAAATCAACAGGTTTTCCTGATTAAATAGTAAACCGAATCAATATGCAAAGCTACTGGCGGATTCGCCACGTAGTTGCTTCTTGTTACGGTGTGATCACACCATGATGTGATTACACTGACTTGTGTAATCCACATCTTTTTACGATCACATCATCTTGTGTGATCCACCCTTTCATACCAGGCTACGTGTATCCCCGTTTACAATTTAACTATAACCATGACTAAGCCTACGACTACGACTACGACTATATCTTTGCTACATCTACGACTACGATTATGTCTTCATGCGTCAATAATTAAAACACCACTTGAGGACTATGTGTGGTTTTGCGAAGTCAAATTGAATTGATCACATTAGTATGCGGTTTTATATTATGTTGTGGGAGATCCGGCGTGGAACGCTGATTCAATTATCCGACAGGTCTGGAATCCAGACCGATATAGTGGAATGGCCTTACATCTTTCCGCGGGCTACGGGAGATTACAGAACAATATCGTATTACGGATCCCAGATGCTTCGTGGACTATAGTCCAGACCAAGAACTCGACACTAGTGTACATCAAGGTTCCAATCTCCACCTTATCCACTCACAGGGCACTTTTAGCGCCCAGTATTGCCTTCGCTTACAAAAGTCAACTCGCGATGTATAGCTTTCAGCTGGATAGACCCTCCGCTTCTCCTCCACAACGATTGCCTTACTGTTTCGACGCAGCTAATCTTTGCTTTCGTCAATTCACATCCCTGTGCCACCCAACCATGTCAATACTTTGCATCTTGCTTGCGTATGGTTTGCTGCGCAGTCGGATTGATGGCTTTGGCCCGCTACAGGGGCAATTTTTACTGATCAATGACACGACCGCCCTGATGTCTTGTATGGTAAAACATGCATACTTTGCTAATTACATTATCTGCTGATTAGATAAATCAAACTTGATGAAAATAATTTAATCATGCCTACCGGCCCTGATGGGGTGACAGGTGTGGCGGTGAGACATCGTCACTATGACCCTAGCACGTTGAACAAAATGCATGACATCCACAACAAACATGTTGTTGAACGAATTCTCATACGAGATGCGAAAGCAAAAAAGTGATGAGCTATCCTGGGTAACGAAGCACCAAGAGAACTCGTTCGCTCGGGCCGTTGGGGTAGTATCTGAGACGTTAACATTGTGATGGGAGGAGTCGTGTTGTCCACTACAAGTTACGTGACGTGTGTACCAGGCATTCTCAAACTGAAAAAGGAAGTATTATTCTTACAGCCGACATAAATAAATAGTGAAAGCATTTTTGGTATTTCATAATGTGAGCGTTGTGGCTCTAAGACAGATTAGAGAGAGTCTATTGTTGCAAATATTCGAACGGCAATTTCGCTCTTGTCGGGAGTTCTTCTCGGTGAACCTCTAAGCAGTTTTATTCGTAGCCTGTGCCTTTCAACAGCATGCGATTACCCGATTTGTCAAATGTCATGTGTTGATCGTTCCGATACGTTTCAGCTGATCACTCAGATTCTATTCAAACGGGTTCGCGAAGATCGTACCGTATATTTTTCACTTCCGACATCGCAGCCTCTCCTTGTGCTGAATCGAAGACAAGACTGTCGGGCCGCAACCAGATTCCCGCACAAGTGAAAGTATGTGTATCAAGTATGTGTTAAACGTGTACAATAAGGGTGCGACACTCATTGTAATAGATCAAGAGTAGGTCATAATTGCCGTTTTGTAAGTCGCCAAAATTAAGAATTCAAAGAAACTGCCATTCACTACACCATTACCAGCCATTGAATTATGTCTGTTCGAGAAGCTCTTCTTCAAGGGCTGTGTATTAGCTCTTAAGTGTGATATAATTAGACAGATGTGTGTAATCTCCCAGATGACGATTACTTCATAACAGGATATTTCCTCGATGACGATTTAAAAGCCTTTTGCTTCATCTCAAAACTATATATTCTTGGCACGAGATTGATGTCGAGTTTGTGATGCGATTTGGCCGGGATTATAAAGTCGAAGCCACCTACAGCTTTTTTATGTTCCACACGGCAGCAGGACATGCAAATTCCAGCATTTTCTGCTGAAATCCCTCAAAGCATGCATCTTGGACACGTTTGCAATGCGTTGTGGTGCTCCTTTATCAACGAACACGTCGCTTATGTGAAAGGAATTGACCCTGAACTTTGATGCCAAGTCGACTGTATCTACCGTCATTGTCTTCATGGATGGTTCGTACAAAGTTCTTATTTGTGAGCAGGGAATTCCGCTCACTCCGTATTGGAGTGACTGGTTATGCCCCAGAATTACAAATATGCTCTTGCCACATTCGATCGGATGGCCTTATACGTATCGCTTGTATTTATTAAGTTATTTGTTATCTTTGCCCACGACAAGGAAGAAATCAAAATGGCGGAATAGAAGTATATCCTGGCCACTTGTGACAGGTATTCAGGTATTGAGCGGTCACAAGCTTATTATGAGCCTCAAGCAGTGCGCTTTTTTCAGCCGGAGAGCTTGGTGGTGCCAGAAGTAGTGGTGCTCGATATGATTCAAAGAAAGGATGCAATAATCTGCGATTGGCATTTCTCTACAAAACAGAAGCAGGTCAATCAGTGATACGAATCTGTCAGCTACTTCCAAACGTGCACCATGAGCTACGCTACAAGGTTTTTCACAATCAGACGGTCCTATGATGATGATTACCAGTGATATTTTGATCAAATTAGGGCAAATTACTAGAAGACATATATTTATCATTTTTGAAGCCGTTACATGTTGTTGGTGATGTCAGTGACTTTGCGACTGCCCATTCCATCGACACCAAATAATGATTGTGTTTTATTAATTATTGACCAGGACTGTGAAGAGTCACTATGCTCACGGTAAGAGTTATCTGCCATAAATTATGTCATGCACTCGTTAAGTTTTGAGTAAGATCAGCTTTCTTTCAGCACGAATCACACTTCGCTACAAACAGCAACCAAGTCACTGCAACTGTCTCAAAAATATCTTGATTGCCGGCGTTTTCCCTTAAGTTCAAGCTTGATGTTCATTATCAGCCAAAAATATACAGCGTCTTTGCAAACGCACTCTCTTGACGATTGAACTGTGATATCAAAGCACCGAAAGGTAGCATTCTTGCACAAGCTGCTCTCAATGCACTGAAGATGGTAATGCAGATGTGGCAAGTGCTCATGCAGCAATTCCCAGTAGTATTCAGCGCCTAAAAAGCAACAATCGATGCTTACAAAACCGATCTCATCATTAATCTTTTTTTGCTGTTCTCCATAATTCAAGGCGTATCTGTCGATACCACCCTTTAAGTGGTTTGACGTGTGATAGCATCTACTATTCCGATACTGTATCTGTCGTTGTTCCCAGCATGAAAAATCCTCAGATCCAACTGATTCAGGAGCATCATGATTCCCAACTGTCGGATGCCTTGGTCGTGGGAGGACATCAATTTCCTTTTCGCGTGATTTCTATAAAGATTCACCAGTACAAAGAAAATGATTTTAAATAGCAAGGAAACGCCTTTGACCCCTTAAACTCATTTCATTGACCTTGACCAGCTTCAAATGATGTATAAACCTCTGTTCGTCTCAATTTTGGCTTAGAATTAACCAAAGGTTCGCGCGGTCATGATATTATCATGGTGGCTGTAGATCATTCCTCAAAATTCTTCATCTCACTGCAGTGAAACAGTCAGCTGCTACCAACGAAAAATTGTCTCAGCAATTCTTGACTATAGTCTATATAGAGCCACCCCAGATCACAGGTTACCATTTTCCTCACATTTCCGGTGCCAGATTTCTCGACATTAAATGTCAGATATCGTCAGCTGCCGTGCAAGAGGCTTATTGACAAACAGAACCTGCCAATCGCGGCTTTAAAGACGTCTTACTGACCTACGCCACATAGGATCCTCACCTGAACTACAATCATTTTGTCGCTTAGTGAAACAGTGAAATATCTAGAAGGACCCACTATGCTAGAAGTTCTGCAGCTTCCGTCCACCTTACGAGCGCTAATTAGCTCCCATGAGCACTTTATCTGCCCAGCATCCTCCCCGACCTTGCTTAGTAGAGAAATATTTAGGCTACCGGAATCCACACGCTAGGATAAGCTTTCTCGAACGCGGGATGCTGGTTGCTATCCGACCCTTTTAGAACCGGGTTCCGTACTCCTCATTAAACTACGGGGCTTTTTGGTCAGTGGGGTCGTCAGCCCACCCAACTATCACACAACCGTTTGGGTGCGGACTGGCAGGGCAGACACATTATTTAGGTTTTATCGCTCGTCCGCTTCAGTGACCTCTCTCGGCTTCTTTAGTTCGGATCCTATGGGAATCAAACCAGGTACCTTCTGGTCTCAGGTTAAGCGACTAACCGCTCAGCCCGGGGTCGGTTAGACCTCGATAAATAGAGCATAAGCTTCTCGCAACACGCGGCTGCATTTAATACAATACGATACAATTGCATGAAATTCAAATTGCACTCTAGTGGGATTGTGATTATTTCTATTAACGAGAACGTCGGTATTCATGGAATCTACACAACCCCAACAAGAAGGAGTCCACTGTGCATGTGAGCTGCAAGTCGCGGATCAGAAAATTTATCAAAAGAGAGAGTAAGTGTATTTTTATTCATTCTATCTTGAGCTTGATCGTATAGACTTCCTTTTGAAATTGCAAACCACTAGCAGTTTGAATCACCTCATATTTTAGTGGTTCTGATCCTGGTAGGAGCGCAAAAGAATAAAATCTGCGTGATTTTTAACGCGAACGCTGACAGGCAAAGCTTCCTATGTGCGATGTTTATACACATTGTATGTGGGGATATGTAAATTGCATAAAAAATAAGTTATACATATCTCCGCATTCAAAATGCAATTTACATATCTCTACATACATTGTGTATGAACATATCACATAAGAAGCTTTGCCCGCCAGCGTTCGCGTTATAAAACACACAAATCGTGTTCGTTCCTTACAACAGTTCAATGTGTGTTCTGCCTGCCTCTGATATTGGCGCCTTGATTTTGAGCAGTCTGGTTTTCCGCTGTAGCAGTTCCCACTCGGCGTATTACTCTCAGTCTCATTGAGATAACATCTTGATTTTGCTACCAATTGTAGTAGCAAGTCGAATTGTCTCAGGAGACCCTCCTCTTCAAAACCGGAGCCACATCGTGGCGGTGTTCAAGGCGCTTGTTACCTAAATCAAACCATCAATGTTAAAAGGGTTCAATTTTTTAGGCATATACTGTGATATTTAGCGCAACTTAATAAGGGGCGCATTTTGCTTGAGTACCGTCGGTTTTCCGCTCAGGTCCTTTGGAAAATACACAACGCAGCTTACGCGGATGGTCAGCGGTTAACATATCCAGACTGGGGTCGAGAACCTTCAACAAACATCGCCAAAACTTTGCTGTATAGAGCGGATTTCTAACCAATAGAATTGCTATCGGCAGGCCTTGTTGATAAACGCCTTGTCGAAGAACAGCTTGGCTGTGTCCTCACCGATCACGACATTCCTGACAGCACCAAGATAGGTCATGTTGTTAATCCAATTCACGATGACCATTATCAGATGCATCTTTTGGGAGACAGAAAGCGAAGTCCACAGTGATGGACTGCAGGCATTTTGCCGGAACGGGCAGGCTAACGATACATACGGCGAGGTTTAATACGCTGACACCGTTAAGACGTGCGGACGTGCGTGTTTACCCCCTTATACATGTTGAGCCACCTATAAAAGCGTTCATTGAGTAGTATGTCTTTCTTTGAGGTGGCCATCCAGAAATTTATCAAACGCTTTCCACAGGATTCTAGACTTGAGGTCCTCATCATGGGCGTCCCTTCCGGTTTGATAAGAAAGGATTTCGTTAGGCTCTAGTTGTTGAGCCATATTATGCTTTCTTTTTGAGTGGCATACGTTGCTCGCTCATCTGACAGCCTAAAAAATGTCCATGAGCTTGCTAGATATGCGACAGGTTTGCCGTGCACCTTGTCAAGAGAAAGATTTGGCCCAATGAGCCCGCGCCAACGAACGCACAAACAATGGGTCCGTACGCTCCACCTAGGAGAGATACCGAGAGGCTCTCAGATAACTTACAGCTTACGTCTCCTTATTAAAGTAAGTATGACCTATATTCAAAATGATTACGCTAACACTGAATACATGCTTATTATACTCAATGATAAACTATCTCTATTGCGTGATGCTTGCAGCTCACGCGTTCCATCGATATATCCTTTGCGGGGTCCCATCGACTTTATTACTGCCACGTCAGAACTTTGCACAATAGTGTAATGTGTTATGCACCCCAACACACCCTTTTCTCCCAAAATGTGAGCCATACGGGGGGCTCTGTGCAAATTTGTTGCGTGGAACGCATCTTGTTATACCCTTTTCTATCAAAACGTGGGCCACACGGGGGGCTCGTGAGCTAATTTGTTTCTTGCATGTATCGCAGAAGTGTACGCACAACGAGCACCGACTCCGCTTGAAGGAAATCTCCTCACTTGGACCGTACAGTATCCGGTCAAATTTTCCTTCTGCGTTGGAAGTTCCCTTCCTAGCGTGCTTCTGTAATGACACCTTGTTGCAGAATACACGATGATGTTCGGCTCATTACTAATTTAAAGACCTGGTTCAATGAGCAAGAGTCGGTACGACGCTTTCAGGTTTAATCATATCTCGATAATAAGATTAATCCGCGAATTGTTGCCAGTCTCGCCGTGACGAGTAAAGTCGTCTACTCAAATTGAGCGCGACAAGTGCGCTCGTCGGTGGCTCCGCGAACGCTTTCTGGCTCCTTGGATCAGCACTCTTCAGACCTGCGCCTGGAGGCCACAGTTAGGTAGCTTTCGTATTCTTTAGGAAGACCATGCTTAAGGGTCCAAATGCTGACGGTAGAACGGAAGAAAATCGTATCCGTTAGGAGTATTGGTTACGAAAGGCACGTCGCCATATCCAAGTCATTGCCTTACAAGCCAGCTTCTGTAAGCAAGTGTCGAACTGGAGCGCATTTTATGCTTTATTATGTGAATAGAAAAGCGCAACGTGAAGATCGAGATGAATACTAGCCATCGCAGGATTGTGCTGTCAGCAGCCCTACCTATCTTCATTAGCCTGTCGGTACAAATACTAGCCAAGTCTCGAGCTGGTAACCAGGACGAGTCTCACTCGCTTTTGGGAAGCGCTTCAAGCTAGACGGCTCTTTCTTTCTATTTGAAAAAGATAAAGAGTTACGTTGTAAGCGGCTTCGGTAGTCTTGCCAAAAATGGACCTCAAATTCTCTCGGGGTAATGAGTAATGTAGCTCATCCTCATCGCGAGAGATTGATAACAACCCCTGTAATGCTGGCCCACAATTTATTCGTCAAGACAGTGCGCCACTCCTTACTTATCGAGCAGGGCGGGCGGAATACGATTTTTGGTTGGGCTGCTCCAGTGAAGTGTTTCGCTTATGGCTGTACTCTCTGAGAATACTGTCGCTCAGAGTGGCTTGAGACATCCCATGCGGCATAGAGCCGTTTTGCCGCTCTTAAGTAAAAGCTAGGTCAGCTAAAAGAGATGATGGTCAACTTGCATCATCGTCAACAGAGTGCTTCACATTCAATTATAAAAAGCGAAATCATGGTATGGCTTCACCATGTTCACGTAGAACACAATTTCCCTTCCAGAAAAACGAAGGTGTAGCTCAATCAATGTCCACATAGCACCATAAACACTCGTTACGTGAGGTAACAACTTAGTTTATTGGCTGTGAACAAACTATGCGTTGGTAAGAAAAGCACATCTTGGCTCTGAGTTATAGCCTATTGCAGCCCTGCGCATAACGCATATTCGCATAGAGATAAAATCCCTATTTTTGCAACAAAATAAGGCCGGGCGAATATAAGCAAAGTTGCTTGATTGACAACTGTTCCACTTGGACTGGGGTCAATGTGGCGGTGTTAAGGCGCTAGTGGACTTGACTAATAATGTCAAATGGGGTAATCCTGTAAAGGCATATACTGCGTTGTCAACGCATACACAATGAAAGGGGACAACTAGCTTGAGCAGAGCTTCGAAGGATATCCTTCACAACACGACTTACGTATGCCGCCTTGACCATCTTTTTGCGAATGATTAGCGATTGACATATCTAATCTGGTGTCGAGCACCTTGATTATTCTTGCTAAACTTGACAGTAAATCGCGGATATCTATCCGATACAACGGATATTGGCAAGCCATGTTAACAAACACTTTCTCGACGAACGGCTCGGCTGTATCTTCACTGGCCACGTCATCGCTGATAGCAGCAAGGTAAGCCATATTTCTTTGACGGTTCACACAGACCAAAACGTCGGTACAACCGGACAGTTTTTTAAAATACTTAAATGTTTGCCGCCTGCGGCGAAAACTTATACAATTGACTCATTTGGCACATGCGCTCATAAGTTCTCACCCCTTATACATACTGGACCATCACTAATACATACCGCTTAACGAGCCACTTTCAAGGGGGGCATGTATCTCTGTGCTGTACTCTCCAATGAAGTCCCTCATCATGAGGTCCCACCACACGTTGAGTATCAAGTGGGTCGGTATCGAGCCCTAGAACAGGAAATTGCGGTGCTGGTGTGCGGCCAAATGCTTCGGTATTGCGGCAGCTAAGCTGTAAACGTTATGCTTTCAACTCTTTCAGAAATACAATGCATGATGCATCTGATCTGTACGCTGCACGCATGGCCTTATTGATGTGCGACCTCAACATTTGTCAAATGCGATAGCTCATAGTCTGATACGCAAAAGAGTACCCGCGACCACTATAATGCCATCCACTTGTACCTTACCTTCAGGATTTACTTGGCGTAGCAAGATAGTCATCTTGCAATTTTCTAAAAGAGATGCGGTGACAGCAACGACACGTAATATAAGTCCAAAATATTTTTTTCTTGTTATTGAGCAAAAAAACAAGAAAAACATATTTTGGACTTGGCAAGTGTATTATCATTGCTCAAAACGCTTCGCTATAAACTGAATGCTTCCTTCTACCGAAATAATCCAGCAAGACTCAAATGCATCATGCCAATTGACGTCAGCTTGTCGCAAAGCACATCCTTTTGTATGATTGAGGCGTCACTGGCGTCAGACAGCTGCCTTAGTACGGTCATTTCCATGTGACGCAATATGTTGGTACAGGAAACCAAATCAATTTTACCTGAAGAACACGTGTGGTGGATCTGTCGTCCCTACGTTGTGATACCTCTCAAGACATAGTAGAATGAATCCAGAGGGTTCTTGTGAGAAGCTGTCCGACTCCTCGCGCTCTGTGTCCTCGATGACAAAAACAACCATCACGGTTGACAAATTCAGCCTTCCTCTAATACCGACCATACCATCCCAGTGGCCTCACCGTCTAGCAATTCTCCCATTTTTTTGTACCGAGGTCTAAATCTTTTGAAAGATTTCCTGCCGGAGGTACCGAGGGTGATACTAGCAATCTGAGTACCACCCCGGTCAGTCCATCCACAAGTAAACAATCTTTTTTGCCTCTTACCCGTGGAGCTTCACTGCTCCGCACGGTGGATCAAACGTTTGTGCTGGCTCAGCAGTAAAGTCTCATAATGACAAAGATGATATCGTCATGACCTAGCCCTTCTAGTGCGCCTGACATTGACATTTTAAGCCCAGCTCAGGCACGGAAGATTGCGATACCCAGTAGCTTCAACTCACTGCGGGACCTGGCACTGAAAACAGTAGTCCACAGCTATTCCTTATCGTCTCAATAGACGAAAATCTGAGTTCACGACAAACATTCGCCCTGACTAGTCTCATCCTGAATTCGCGGCTTACTACTGCTTCCACCTTCAGAGCTCTGCTCGTGGGACCTAAGAATACCAGTGCTATCGATTTCGGACAGTCCCATATTCTGTACTGAAGTTATCGCAGCTTCGACTCTGCTCCTAAAAGCGCTTCTACTTCTTGTTACAGGTGGATTCGTGACTCGCTAAAGCTCCACCAAGAAAGAAGCGCGTTGCACCAAGCTTTTCCGACTTCCAGTCATCTCATGGCTCGCGACATTCCGGTCACACCTAACCTAGAATGAGAGATATCTGGAATCCAGGTGCAGGACGAGACGTCATTCTACTCTTAAATTTCCCTTGGACGCTCAACTTGACCTTCTGCACATTACCCAGTGTTCCGCTTCAAGGCATACCGTAATTGTATTCGTATGCGGTATCTTCAATGCCTGGATCCGAAACTAGTCTACGTCTCGCGCTGTAAGAACCTATATTTTTTATTTGATTGTTCAACAAATTGTTATATAATTCGACATACTTTAAATAGACCCCCGTCGCGAGACGCAAGATAATCGTATTCGCATTTTTCATCTTCAATGCCCCTGTGTACTGTCGGTTGCTTTTGACAATCAGGCGACCGTGCGTTATTGCACAACGCTCCTGTATATAGAATTCTTAAAGTCAGGGACGTTAACATCATATCTTAGCAAGTCTAGGCTGTAAAACCCATCGCTCTTACAGAGAGTCACTCTTTTTGGGTGGGTCCCATTAATCAAGACTTTCTAGTGTCTTATAACATGCCAGATCTTTTCCAGAGGCTGCCCTATGCCTGCTAAAAATTGACGTTTGCTCATGAAAAATTCGCCGTCACGTCTTGTATAGGGCCTAAACTGTGTATCGCACAGCCGAGAGTGAAGGGAGTATTCAAAGGGCAAATATTTTGTTCTGACGTGGATATAACAATTTGCGACTACCTACAATCCGTGCAAGATGCCAAACGAGGCTTAATTTTGAATAAGGTCAAGCGGCGTACAAGTAATTTGACAATTACTTTTTAATCACAAGACTAATAATAAATTTATTATGTCGCGTCGTAGAATGCTGCGGCTTGCTTCGTCAATAATTGCAACGAGAAGAAGGAGTGTGTCTTGTGTTTGTAATGTACATCCATATTAACTCTGATTTGCAATTGCCACGCGCAGTGCGGGCATATATTCAGCGATGAGAGCAGACACATTTAATGTCACGTGATTTAGCATCTGCAAATTTGTCTCAGTCATGATCCGATACTCGTCAAAGCTGATGAAGCCATCCTTGTCCTGATCAAGGTCATCTATCGTTTTGGTCACGATCGTCTTAAGACACTCAGCAGGAATATCAATGCAATTTTCCTGAATGCATGCCTCGAGCATACTGAGTAGCTCTTGCATCGACAACTTCCCGTCGCGGTCAAGGTCTAATATGTCAAAAGAGACTGCACTAGCAGATCAATTAATTAGAAATCATTCTCCATAGAGAATTTATCAAAAAGTGAAAACGCACATTTGATCTTTTCGGCCGTACCGCTCTTGGATGACAACACGGAAACGCTCTGTATGAACTCATTAAAACTGATTGAGCTGTCATTGTTCGCATCAAAAAGCTGAAATATTCGATCTACGTAAAGCGACTCTTTGATGGTAAAGCCTAACGCTGTTTGAAAATCATTTCGATCGATAAGTCCGTCATCTCGCTTCGCTGAGCTGATGAGGTCAAAATGCACGTGCAGAGCAACGACCTCATCTGGCGTGAAATTTGTGCTTTGCACGAAAGAAGCAACTTCGTCGTCGCTGAGTTTACACTTCAGAGGCGATCCATTATATATTGTCCCGGCTGCAACTGTACTCAAGTTATCTCTTGCAGCTGATGCCGCCGCTCCCATTGAAATCACGTCGTTTCGAGTGTAATTCGCTGACTGGACAATATTAGTTTTATTTTTGTGTCTTATCAATTGATTGCCAGCCACACGCTTCTAATAAGTCGTTATGTCTGCGCACGTGTTGACTAAGCGCTTAGCCTTACGGCGTCTACGAATCTCAGCACTACGTATGTTGTCAACGATCGATTCTACTTCTAGTACGACAAATACCATTCTCGCTTCCGAGACAACGAACACTGCGGAGATATCGGAAGAGGACTTGGGCAATCTGGCAGGCGTACCAATCTCGCAGGTAGTTGCTTAAGCACTTATTACAGTATTAAGTAAGATCTGATTGCCGCTCTGTCATAATCTTCTGATCGCAATATTAGGCTACAAAGACTCATCGTTTGAAATTCTTTGAATTTGCTAAGGAGCAACAAGATCAGCTTTTTCCTGAGGGCATTGGCCGTCGCATGGACAATACGTTTGATCTCCTAGGTCAACGTCATATTATGCTTCGCGACACCACGCTTAAGATTATCTCGGCAATGAAAGGTTAGTCAAAAGAAAGTTAAAGCTTTGTAAAAGACTAACAGACGACTGTGTTCTTGAATGAAGATTGGGAAACGGCAAAAAACGACTCCATCGGTGCATATCTAATTGACGGTATCCGTGGCACGGGTAAAAGTTTTGCGCTGCATCAGATTGTACAATTCGCTCGTGAAAGCAATTGGGTGGTACTATATGTCCCCAATCCTCGCTCGTGGACCCATGAGGCTCCATACGTGGTTTTGTCGCCTTACCAGGAAGGCAAATTCGACATTGATGTGTACGGAGTAGATTTGCTGCAAAAGTTTCTTCATTGCCATGGCGAACAAATTAAGTCCATTCCACTTCGTGGTAAATACACCGACCGCTACTACCCGACCAACAAATTCGAGTCCAAACCCAAAGTAGTTTCGGACTATGCGGAGGCTGCGTTGACATTGCATGATGTTGTTGTCTGTGGTATTCGTGACGAGGAGTTGGCATGCCAGGCCGTGTGTGACCTTAAAGCCGAACTAGCGCAAACTACGGAGTTCCCTGTCCTCATTGCCATTGATGACTACAATACGTGGTTCCAACCAACTGTATTCGGCTACGAGGGCAAGGACGTGGCAGCCGATGACATTTCAGTCATCTCTTCATTAAAGGACATTGGACCAAAGGGATATGACAAGTCTCGCAAGCTCAAAAATGGCCTATTTGTCGCCGCCGTTACGGAAAATTTTCCTTCAAAAGTGCACTTTAAAAATCAGGTGGATTATCGTGAGATTCGCACCACGATGTACCCTTACACGACCGAGGAGCTTGCAACCATTGTCTCGTATTACAACCAAATGAGCTTTTTGCATGGTACGTTTTGATGTGAAATTTTGATGAAAAGACTAAAAAATCTAATTACTATTGACACTTGCAGACAAGCCTACGGACTCGCAATTAGCATACTTTAGGCTTATGACGAAATCGCTCCCGCTCCACGTATTTGACCGTGCGTCGTTTTCGTAGTTGGTAACCAGAAGCATGTCAACATTTGTTATTTTTGGACTGGCCATGTCAAAAAAAAATAAACTACTTAGTATAATAATTAATCTGCAGTAAATTGCATTAAACGAGCCATGCAACACAAAGAAGATGGTAGAAATGATCCTTTTCTAAAAAACATAATTTTAGTGAATCATATACCAAATATGGAGCCGTCGGCTGGGGCCTCCGCTGCGCGCATGACTCTGTCGCCAGCTGACGTTAAAAAGCTAATGGATGCAGCTCTGCGTATGCAACGTGCAGGTCAAAAGGACCATCCAAAATACCAGCAAATTGTGGCGCTTTTGCGGCAATATCAGCAGCAACACCGTGCGCGTCAGCAGATGCAGATGCAGTCTCAAATGCAATTTCAAGCTCAAGCATCTGCCCAGTCTCTAGAAGTAGCTGCTAACCCGTTTCTGCAGCAGAAAACGATGCTATTTTCCGAACGACAACTTGAATACTTGCATAATCAGATCCGCGCTTACAAAGCGCTATGTCACTCGATGGATACAGCCATTGCTCAGGCCAAACAGCTGAGTGCAGCAGCTCCTAGTATGCAACCATCAGATTTTACTAATTATAAAATGGGGGCGTCTGTCGAGCCTTTTGTCCAGCAACCACAACCTCCAATTGGGGATCCTCCAGTACTAGAACTTTTGACTCCTAAATGGACAAGAGCAGCACGCAACTTACTCTACACTGGTCCCGAGTATATGGATGGTGATCTGATTCGTATTGAGGAGAAAGGCGAGTTAGCCTTTGGGCCGTATAATATCTGCTCTCGTTGGCTTGGACTGAATGACGTTGCATTAAAAATGCGGTACATGCACGCGCTGCAGCAATTTTTGGTGTCGAGTCTGGATAAATTGGAGAAGCATGCGGAAACTTTGGACGAGAATGAGCAACGTACGTTACGAGATCTGCGCTGTTTGCTGCTACAGCAAAAGTTACGGCGTCACGTTGCTAAAGCGCACACAACGCGATTGGCATTATTAGGAGAGCCGTCTGCAGTCGACCGCAAGTCTTTTCGACGCCGTCGCCCAGCCTCGCGTGTGGAATTACAAAGTGATGAACGCGAGAAACGTAAAAGGTCTGTGGCAATGGAAAAGAAACGACGTGCAAACCATCAAATGTACTTAAAAGCTATCCTTAACCACTCGCGCGAGTTTTTTGCTTATCATAAGAATGTCAAAGCGCAGATCAGCAAGTCTGCAAAGAATGTCAAGGCATTTATCGATCAAAAAGCTTCTAAGGCTGAACGCGAGGAAGATCGTCAGGAAAAACTACGGCTCAAAGCTTTAAAAGCAAACGATATGGAAGCTTATGGAAAGTTGGTGGCAGAAGCAAAGAATGAGCGTCTGACTTACTTACTGAGCCAAACAAATAGTTACCTCGATAGTATTCGAAAGTTGGTTCGTCAGCACAAGAAAAAGCATCACGTTGTTGATGAATACACGGCACAGTATGATGCTCGTTATGACGATGGTGGTAAGGAAAAAAACGAAGATGACATGGATGACGATTTAAACTACTTAGAAATCGCTTCGAAAGGAGAACTTCCACGGCAGCCACTTATGTTAGTAGGTGGTGATCTAAAGGAGTATCAGTTGCGAGGGTTGCAGTGGATGGTGTCATTGTATGACAACCATCTTAATGGTATTCTGGCTGATGAAATGGGGCTTGGCAAGACGATTCAGTCGATTTCGTTACTTACATACGTGACGGAGGTGAAGCACAATCACGGACCATTTCTTGTGGTCGTGCCATTATCAACCTTATCAAATTGGGTAAATGAATTCAAGAAGTGGGCACCTGATCTCGTGCTTGTAGTGTACAAGGGTGCGCCACAGGTGCGTAAAGAGCTGTACAAGCAGGAGATGGCATCATGTCAATTCAATGTGCTTCTGACAACATACGAGTACATTATGAAAGACAAGCATGTTCTTCGGAAGTATGGATGGCAGTACATTATTGTGGACGAGGGTCATCGTATGAAGAATGCCCAGAGTAAATTTGCCATGACGCTCGGAAGTATGTACACGTCGCGAAATCGGTTGCTCCTGACCGGTACGCCGTTACAAAACAGCCTTCCAGAGCTATGGGCACTTCTAAATTTCTTGCTTCCAACAATTTTTGAATCTGTGGATACTTTTGAACAGTGGTTTAGTAAACCATTTGCACAATTTTCTGGTAATGGTGACTCTAATGAGCTGTCCGATGAAGAACGAATGCTTATTATCAATCGGCTACATCAGGTGTTGCGTCCGTTCTTACTGCGTCGTGTCAAAGCATCTGTGCTGGACCAGCTTCCAGACAAGGTAGAGAAGGTGCTAAAGTGTGAGCTTTCGGGGTGGCAGAAAATTATGTACCGGCGTATCCAGGAAGGGGGAGCGCTTCTCATGGAGACAACAGATGATGCTGGCAAAAAGAAAGGAAAGGCAAAATATACGTCCAAGGGTTTGTCGAACGTGCTGATGCAACTGCGGAAAGTGTGTAACCACCCATATCTTTTCCAGACAAACGGCTATCAGATTGATTTTGATATCGTGCGATCATCTGGAAAATTTGAACTCTTAGATCGCATGCTTCCAAAGCTGAAAGCTGCCGGCCATCGCGTCTTGATGTTTAGCCAAATGACACAGCTCATGCACGTTTTAGAGGACTACTTTAACTACCGCGGTTTTCGATACCTTCGTTTGGATGGCTCAACGAGTGCTGATGAGCGCGAGCAGCGCATGTTCATGTTTAACGCACCGGATTCCCCATTCTTCATTTTTCTTTTGAGTACTCGTGCTGGAGGTCTTGGTCTAAATCTTGCAACAGCCGACACAGTAATTATCTTTGACAGTGACTGGAACCCTGCCATGGATGCTCAAGCTCAGGATCGCGCACATCGCATTGGTCAGAAGAATGAAGTGCGCGTTTTTCGCCTCGTCACCAATAGTCCTGTGGAGGAAAAAATTCTCTCGCGTGCTACGGACAAGATGAATATGAATAACCTTGTTGTCGAAGCTGGTAAGTTTAACAACAAATCAAAGGAGGCAGATCGACGTGCAATGCTGGAGAGTCTCATCAAGATGGAACAAGAAGAGGCTGCACATGCTGCGCATGGTGACGATGAATCGTCAAATGTTTTACTAGATGACGAAATCAATGAGATGATGGCCTTGACAGATGAGGAACTTGTCCTGTATAATAGCTTGGATGTAGAACGTAACATCCGCGAAGCAAAAGAATGGGAAGAGTATTGCAGACAGTGCAACATCCCCCACTTTCCTCGGTCTCGACTTATGTTGGAGAAGGATGCCCCAAGTTGGTTACGCGAAGCAGACGACGTGATGGAGCGCGACATTGCATCTGGAAAACATGACAAAGATGCGTGGAATGTCGATATGGAGGCTATCTCAGGAAAGCCTCGGAAGCGCAAAGAGATGTCGTATCGTGACCAATTTACCGATGCTGAATTTGTGAAGATGTGCGAGGACGGTATAGATGAAAAGGAAACAAAGGCGACAACGATGGATCCTAAGGAACTAAAGGCCACGACAACCAAATCTATTGAGCTTAAGCGAAAGCGTGAAGAAGACAAAGAGTTTATCGACCCACACTCTATCGACTTCGACGACGAAACACTAAATGAGGATGATTCCGGAAGGCGCGAACGTAAAATGCTGTGTTACTACTACAAAAAAGTATATGACGCCGTTGTCAAGCTTAAAGATCCGACTGGGCGACTGCGAAGCGAGTTGTATGTAGAAAAACCATCTGCAGTGGAATATCCTGATTATTACACGATTGTGCAGCAGCCAATGGATTTGTTAACGATCAAAGCGCGTCTTGACGAATATAATTACGCATCTCATGACGAGTTTGAAGCGGATTTTAACCTCATGGTAGGTAACGCGCAGCTATATAATCATCCTGAGTCATTAGTAGTGCTCGATGCATTGGAAATCGACAAGTGCGTTAAAACGAAGATGAAACCACTGCGCTTGAAAACAATGGAGCAGATTGCGGCAGCTTATGAGAAGGCTAAGAAGGACCACAAGCGGCGCTCTAAAAATCGTAAGGACAAGAAAAGGCGCCACCATTAAGTAAATCAATGCATATTTACCGCTTTACGCCCGCTTCGTAAGGTTAGCGTACAAAATCTATGGATATTTTGCCGCAACTTACGTAAAGTAGCCGGCATCAATTGCGTCTGAGCTCGTGCCCTTGCTGTCTAATACGCCAATGTTTCTCGAAGAGGGGGCCTCCTTAAACGTCTTGTAGGTGCGCTGTCGACCAGAAAATAAACATCAGGACAGCATGCATAAGCGCTGGGATCTTAAACTCCTTACCTCAAGATGGTCATCCACTGCCATTACAGCGGCGAGATTTCCAAAGCGGTGACAGTAGTTTGGTGCGCTCCAAACTGTTGAAAAAGTATCTCGGAATAGCACTTGGTATCCTTCCATGCAGAGCTGATGGGCTCTGGCCATATGTGCAAGTTTGTTCATATGCAAAAACTTTTCCACCACGTCTTCTCCGAAAATATAACCTGCTCCTCTGGGAGACTGCAAGAGAAGACCGAGCAATACAAATGAATAATCCGCCATTCCACCGATAACTCGTTTGATTATCACCCACTCCTTACCATATGAAAGCCGAGTGTCTTGGAGTCTGGGTCAGACCATACAATATCAGCAAAGATTCCGTCAGGAGGAATCTCCTGGAAGCGATCAAGCATCCGCAGTTGGTCTAAATGATGTAGTGCCGGACTGAGGCCACCGTGCAGGCATAACAGACTATTGTCAACGAGAGCCCCCAGCGGTAAAAAGTCAAAAAGTTCCATAAAAGCCTTATAAACACGCGCGTCGCCGTCATATTTCTTCATACACTCGATCTGGAAGCCGTAGACCTGTGTCGTCTGTCGAGACTCATGATTGCCACGCAACAGCGTTATACGATCTGAATAACAGGCTTTCAGCACACATAAAAGTGATATAGTCTCCACACTCATAGCACCACGGTCCACAAAGTCACCGAGAAAGATGTAATTCGTGTCAGGTGCCTGACCTGCCAGCTTGAAGAGTTCGAGCAGGTCATGAAATTGTCCGTGGATATCACCACAGACTGCCACAGGGGATGAGACATGGACAACATTTTCGTCTTCAACAAATAAATCTTTAACACGCTCACATAATGCCAATACGGTGTTCACTTCCAAATGTTCGCCGCGCTGTAGTCGCTCCAGATGCCGCCCATAGTGGGTAGCCATTATTATAATGTTGTCGTTTGTCAATGATGTACCATATGGAGGGTACACCTTGAACTGATAACTTTTTGAAACTTCTCAAGCAATGTGGTGGTTTGGTCCTTGCGCTGGCTGCTCGTGCTACTTGTCGGACGTAGAATCAGCGAGTAATTGGGTCGATCTGCGTCCTTTAGATGCGTCATCATCGACTGTTAAGGTCATGCATACGCGAGAGCCAAAACCAGGTCTTTACATAGCGCGAAACCGGTTTACACAGGAGTTAGTGGCCCTGAAAGTGCTAGATCGCCGGTTGCTGCGTCAACGTGCCAAGCGTCGACGCCTGCATCAGGAAGTGAAGGTGTTACAATTAGCACGTGATCATGAAAACTTATTACAGCTGTTTGAGGTTAAGGCTGTAGGTACACGTGTGGAGCTGGCGTTCGAGCTGGCGCGGGGCGGTGAGGTGATGGCTAAACTGCGGTCAGAGCAGGACGTCAGTCACGTGGTTCGGCAAGCCGCCCAAGGACTTATGTTTCTACATTCCCAAGGCATTGTGCATGGAGAAGTGCGTCCTGAGCACCTGCTTTTTAGTGACAATGAACCGAATGCGCGAGTGCTACTTGTAGCCTTCGGACGGGCAGCGCCTTGGCGTTCACTTACAAAACGCCGTCGGCCACTATTGAAAAGATTCTTGTGGGACGATACTCACCATATCCGCTTCCTGCCGCCTTTCCTATTGAAACGCAAGAATGCATGTAAGAATCAAGGCGACAGGAGGCGCCTCGTGGCGAACTGGAGAGAAGCGCAACAAATCGACGTCTGGGCACTTGGTGTGACGCTCTACGCAATGCTCTGCGGCAATTTTCCATTCGGTTCGGAGACAGATAATGTTGTAGAAATCGAACGGAGCATTCTTCAGGATAAGCTGGTGGTCTCAGAGGATGGAATGCTGCTGAGTCGTGCGGCGAGGGATTTGCTTCAACGGCTGCTGGTAAAGAACCCTGGTGCGGCCATGAGTATGAATGAGGTGGTAGCACATCCATGGCTTGATCGAGGCGTAGCTAGTGCTGTTCTATGGAAGGCCGAGAAGCTGGCGCGGCACAGCTTATTTACGGCGCGGTATGCGGAAGAGGTGGCAGCTGGTGCATGTAGACCGTCAGTACTCCAGAGCTCTGCATTGAGAGGAATGAACAATGACAGTGACGTTGCAGACGCACCTACAAGCGCTGCTTATATAAACAAGATGGCATATGACGAAGGGTTTCGTAGGAGCGTTAGAGTAGGTAGTGCTGCGCCAAAAATCGACAACCTTGAGGTTAAAGGAGATGAAGAAGAAGCTCGTTCATCTTTTGTCTCTATGCATGGTACTCAGCTCTTGCTAGATGAAGAAGTGCAGCAGGAGCGCCCCAGTGCAGACAGCTACATGCGTCTTGCTAGCCTCGAGATAGAGGACACCAGCCTGAAAAAGAATAGCGATGATAAAGAGGTGACAGCTGACCCCGGGACAGGACAAATACAAGCCACAAACGAGTTTGTTATGGAGGGTGCCTTTGATCGTGGCAACAGACATGTGACTCGGCAAAAGTCACTTGACAAATTGTGGCAGGTCCTTTTGCGTCAGCGTCGTTTTTTTTCGTCCGAATTTTTGAGCAGCGGCAAGTAATTAGCAACGACGCATTGCGATCGGTATCGGACTATGTGTATTGGTGATTTATTTGTGATGCCAAAGCGTAAAGCTAGATTTGTAAGAAATTGTGGAAGCTTTCGCCAACTTATTCATCTGTTCGCGCTTTTATCCAGATCCGGCTTGGCCTTCCTTTGTTTTCAGCTGGAAGCGCGCTTATCATCCTGTTAAGAGATGACGGTCGAACAAATAAATCGTCACCATCACCTCGCTTACTGAAATAACTTAAGAAAGAAAAATTGCATGTGTGAAGCGGCGAATTGTTACAAGCTGGCTCTTATTCTAAAAGGTATCAGAGCTGCGACGACGAGTTAACGGATCAAGCATTAGCTGATGATATTCCACGCGACGAATCAAGCGTCTGTCGGCGCATGGCGACGATGCAGTCATTTATTTTGGCCAACGCTTGCTTCGCTGGAACATCACGATCAGCACGCAGCTCTTCAGCGTGCTGAATATGCACCGACAAATTCATGTCCAAAGCACGACGCAAGTCATCTACAATAAAATTGATATCCCCACCTACCGCACTCAATACATTGTGAAAGTAATTCAAATCTGCTGCTAATTGCTGGGCACCGACGTCTGTTAACATTGGAATCGAGCAGACCATACGCAATAAAGCCGCTAAAGTACCACTTGCCACTGTCTCAGTCCATAAGTCCACAAACTCCATCGCCGTCGATGGTTCTTGGATATTATCCTTTTCATCCGATCGGAAAACGCGCTGACATGTTGTGAGCTCAAGAGGCGCCATGTCTAAAAGCTGACCAAGACGATTCCACTCATTTTCCACGCATGTTTCTTGTGCCCCATGTGAAGCCACCAATGCATTTTCAAGACCGTTGCTCTTTGCAAAAGGCTCAAGCTGGGGAAGCAGAGATAGCAAAAGGTCTGCTACAGTTGTTATATAATCTTGAGGCAACATGCTAAAAACTGGTAAATCTCCTGAATCCGCACGCGGCATTTTCTGCCAACTCTATAGCAAAAAACCCGATGAAATATTGTGGCACAGGTGATGAAAGAAATCAGATAACTTACCTCGTTACCAGGCAGCGACTCCAGTGTCCGTAGTATAGGCAAGAAAACTGTGTCAAATGTAACACGTTGCGCCTCTTTAGTCCATAACCGCACTGCACGTTGAGCCTCGTCCAGCAGCTACGTGATGAAGCACAAAAAGCGTTTGTCTTAATCATCCAATAGTGCTGAGAAACTGGACACAATTACGTCAAGTACATACCGATGCAGAAGGATACCGAGACTTTTGGATATCAAAGCTCGACTGTCTCGCTGGATAATCCAGCAACTCAACTTCAAAATGGTGAAATTGCGCTTGTCGATTTGGGTCCTCGTTACGGAGCCACATCTTTGACACTGTTGCTACAAGTTTCGTTGGATCCACGAGATCGGCAAGAACGATAATGGCATTGTTTTGAGTTTTCTTACGAAGGCAGCTTTGAGGTGACAAAGGATTTGATCGTTCCCCACAAAACTGTGCGAGTTGCTCACGCATACGAACGCGTACTCGACTGTCAAGTGCACAAGCTTGACTTTCTAAGAAGCCACAAGCTCTCAACAAAGCCAAAGATGCATGAAACTGACTCCAATCTGGAGATGCGACAAATGATTCAGTGGTAAGACTACCGGCTTGTACATTGAGTTCAGCCTTGCAGTGTTTACGAATGGAAGGAATCATAGCAGTTAATGCCAATGTGAATTGTTGGACAGCTGTGCCGATGGCTTCTATTGCTTCAGGGAATGCAGCCCCGCCTGTAAATTCGTAACACTGCTGCAAACTCTTATCTACAACCATCCACACGGCCTCTGATGCTTCTTCAAGGCGCTGACTAAAATCTTCAAGCGATACAAACTCTGCTGTAATTTGGTCCTCTTCCTCGGCAATTTCATTTTTCAGCTTTTTTGCAGTATTATCCACATGAAATGCAGGCACAAGTTGCTGCAACGCATCAGTGAGGGCCTCACTAGCAAAGCGAGCGTACTCAGTATAATAGAGTCGATACGGCTCAAATACAACACGTAAAATACCTTCAGCATTAAACATCGTGGCATCATTTTGAGTTACATTTAGCTCAGGATCACTTTCCACAGACCTAAACAGATGCACCATCTGACTTGCAAATACTCGCGTCACATTAAAGCAACGCAGTAATTGACTAAGTTGTAGCTGCGAGTCTGAACATCCAGTACGTTCTAGGCGGTCGCGAAATGATTCGGTAAGAGGCTCGAGGGTATTGCTCAGTAAGTCGACAAGTGTGGCGAGCAACATGTCAGAGCCAAAAAATTTGCGAGCGTTGCGACTCTCTTTCTGCAACATACCCAGCACGTCCGCATAGAATTTCTCGAGCCATTTAACAAACATTTTGTTTGTCTTGACGTTTTCATCTTTCTCGGTACGCTCCAATTGTATCATGTCGCTGTAAGAATTCCAGATTCGGTGCATACGTGCAGGTCTCGCTCTACAAAATTCCTCTCTTACAAGGTAAGCTTTTGCAACGCTACCAAGGACGTCAAGACACCACTGCAGCGGCGCAACATCGCTGAGATCGTCCTCCTCGAGAATCATAGCGAGTCGGGGCTGCACTGCAGCTTCAATCTGTACACAGAGTCTATTCATGGTTTGTTTGCGGTCGGACGCACCAGGAAGATCTTTAAGCACGTCCAAACTTGTCTGCATCTCTCGCACACGGTCAGCCAAGTGATCCGCCACGTTGTCTTCAATCTTTCGAATCTTTAGCTTGTCATTATCGGACTTGAAAACATGAACCAGCAGCGTTGGATCTTCCACAGCTGCAAAACACTCACGTACATTACGACCCCATTTTGCAGCTTCTGTGAGCGCCTGGGAACAACTTTGGAGTCGACACTTCGCTTCATGTAACGTCACAAGGTGGCGCAGATCTTGTGCCGTAGCAGTGGAACTCGCGCTTAAAACAGACCCAGAAGTGCAGGCTTCATGTACATTATCCAGCTGCTTAGATAGTGGTGTGACAGACTGCTGAAGTTCCTGAAGACGGATTTGTACGGTGGGACCTGAGAGCGATACTTGCTGCAACGACGTATGAAGAGCTTGGGCCAGCGTCTGCGAGCGAAAGGTCAATTGTGGCACTAGCGATTTTAAAGATGCAACACTTCCCGAGTGAGCAGCCAGTGCCTTTTCCACCCACTCGAATGCGTCAAAGTCTGCGGACGTGGACGCCGCTGACTCAAGTAATATCGAGTCACTCTCCATTACCTATGCTAGGTTATCAAATGCGCTCATAATTAAAAGAGTATATGATTTAGTAATACTCGAGGTTGTACAAAAATGCTGAAAAATTAATTTGACAATTTTACTCGAAATTGCGTCTTTTGAAAGTCTTTACTATCCAGTAATGTCCGGCCAAGACACGTGCAGTATTTGAGCGTCAGCAGTACAGGTAGAACTGTGAGCAGCATCCAAATGCCTTGAAGGCCCCATATACTAAGGAATTGCAGCAGATTTACTTGGATGTCCTGAAATGTTTTTCTCACCGACTCGAAAAAATAGAAAGACCGTAGAGTCACACAAGTACCGTCGAGTACATAGCGCCTTTGATTTTATCGTACGTTCCGCCTAGTGCACACATTAACCCTTCGCCATTGCAACTGATCTGCGCAATCTTCGTACAGATCGCATCACGAACTGCGAGATTTTCGGAATAATACGTTTTTTTATAGCTTTTGTGCAGCGGGGCTGCCATAGCTTAGCGCTTGAGGAAGCGCAATTTAGGTCACCGACCTTTCGTTCTATACTTAGAACAAGTACGAGTTAGCGGATTGCCCCGCTTACTCCAAGAGTAATTATTGTCTTCCCAAGGCTCATTGACTCTTCGGTTTTAAATTCCAAGCTATTTTTTATCCTAATTTTAAAAGTTTAGATTTTCCTAAATATACTAAATAGATATAGCAAAATCTAAG